GCAGGTGTCCAACAAGGTCTCCCATGAGCACATGTATAATGTATAAACTATGAAGCCTTTCATGGAAGGAAACAGCAAGATACTATAAGAGTGTTTACCAGGAGAACTAATCCTGGGAAGATTTCTTAAAGGCAGTGAAATAATGTACAATGTGAATGATGACTAGTTGTTGTCCGGGTGTGGAGGAGGGGAAGAACTTCCCTCCCAGAGAGAAGACAAGTCCTAGTGGACTTGTAGGACGAGAGCATGCTCTCCCTATAAGAGGATCTTAAAGACAGTTGGAACAGCAGGAGAACAGTGGTCCAGGGGACAGTGGCTCAAAAACTAAGGCAGCAGGAGCTAGATAGTCAGGGGTCTTGTAGACCTTAATACAACCTTCGGGTCCCCTCCCGGTCTTTACAAATGGAGACACCTCTGATTTTCCACTGCTATGTCCCTAGTGTCCAAAACAGTCCCTGAAACAGGATAGACCCTCAATAAGTATCTATGGAATGAGTGAGACCTTTCATTCCCAGGGTCCCCAGGGCCCAGGATCTACTATTAATATTGTAAAAATTCAATGAGTCATTTCCCTATAGTGTCCACTGAAATTGAACAGTTTTTATAGACATCTTTTGAGAGATGTTTGTCTAAACAGTGACCCTCTTGCTAAATGAAACACGACATCCACATTTTTTTTTTTTGAGACAGAGTCTTACTGTGTTGCCCAGGCTAGAGTGAGTGCCGTGTTGTCAGCCTAACTCACAGCAACCTCAAACTCCTGGGCTCAAGCAATCCTCCTGCCTCAGCCTCCCGAGTAGCTGGGACTACAGGCATGCACCACCATGCCCGGCTAATTTTTTCTATATATGTATTAGTTGGCTAGTTAATTTCTTTCTATTTATAGTACAGACGGGGTCTTGCTCTTGCTTAGGCTGGTTTCAAACTCCTGACCTCAAGCAATCCGCCCGCCTTGGCCTCCCAGAGTGCTAGGATTACAGGCGTGAGCCACCACGCCCGGCCTGACATCCACGTAAACATGCACATACACATGCACATACAGGGAAATCCTTGAGCACAAAAGCACATGCCCCTGTGGCAGAGAACAAAACAATGGAACTTCCAGGTCTCATACGCATGTAACCGAGGGCGCAGGCTTTGTATTGATTCAGGGAACATGTGCTTGCCAAGTGCCAGGCATGAGCTGGAGCGGTTGGAATACGGGCTTGGACGCTGCCGCCTCCAGACTGTGGGTCTCGGTTGGACAAGTGCCTTAACCTCCCTGAACATCTGTTTCTTCATCTATAAAATGGGACTAAGGATAGCAGTTGTCTCACAGAGTTCGAGTGAGGTTAAAATCTCTCTCACACGCACACTCTTGACACACCTTAAACAACACAGATAATGATCAATAAATGCAATCAATAAATCTCAGTAAATCTTATTCTTTCTACTATGAGAGATAGTTACCTAGTAGTTTTTACTACCCACGCACATGAGCTCTGAGAGTCTGGATTTGGTTTCTGACCCCCTGAGATTAAGCTAGCCCCCTGCCTTTCCCAGGCTGGCAGGCTGGGGAGCTGCTATCTGGGCTTCCCTGAGGGTCTCAGCCCAGAGGGACCATCCCCTATGGCAGGTGTTCCCATCCGCGTTTTGCCTCCCGACAGAGCTGGTGGATGCGAAGGCCCTGGGCGCCCTCTGCTGGCAGAGGCCATGCAAGTCTCGTGCCCATTGCCCAAGCAGCCAAGAGGGACCCCATACCGGAGAGACCAGGCGTAATCTTGTCATCTGGTGCTTGCTTCTCTCCTGCCTGCCTCCTCTCTCCCAGCCTCCCCCGCTGGCCAGCTAACTCCCACCCTCCGTCTCCTCCCTCCTTCTCATGCGTGTCTCTGTTTTCTGGAAACTTAGAGGGGAAAGCCTTCCTCCAAGGAGGAGTGTCACCGCCAGCTACCCCACCTACCCCGCCCTCCCAAAGTCCCTCCAGGGTCAGATTTCCCCACAAAGCTAAGATTGACTTGACAAGAAGGCAGAGGGATTGGAGGAAAGGGACGTGGGGGCAGGGAGGGTGGCACTACCTTCCCTCCTCTGCAATTATAAACATATTTCCAGAGGTTTTAAATGGAGACCCCTGGGCGGTTAAGTGAAAAAAGATGGATTTGCCTTCAGATCCCATTTCTCAAATGCACTCAGTGTGTAAGTCCACGGAAATCATATTACGTCTTCAAAGCTCATTTCCCCATCAGTTAATGAAGAATGTGATCACTGTCTATCCCATGGCATCGGCACGAGGCTTGGTGAGGTCATACCGGGGACAGAGCCCCTGGTGGGCAGTCACGTTTTAATGGGCGGCAGGTCCTTCCCTGGGCCACAGCCTGTCCAGGCTCTATGCACCCAGTGGCACTGTGGTCCTTGCAGCTCTGACAGCTGTGTCTATCACAGGCAGGTCTCTAGCACACTGCACCTGAGCAGTGATGAGGAGTGTGGCCTCTGGGATGTCCCACTTCCCAGCCGTTATGTGACCGCTTTGTACTTCAGCTTTTCAGGCTTCAAACTGGGGATCGTAACGGCACGTACTCCATAGGGCTGGATGGAGACTAAATGTAAAGTACTTGTAACTGTGCCTGGTGCACAGTAGGTGTTCAGTAAATGGCTGTGATTATTATTATTATTGCTGCTCCACTAAGGCAGGCTGTGAGTAGCTTTATGATCCCCATTTTACAGATGAGAAAATTGAGGTTTGGGTGGTTTGTTCCAGGTTACACAGCTAGGATGAGGTATGGGCAGAACTGGAGGCCAGTCTTCAGAGCCATCGCCACCTCTCCACCCTTGGCCTGTCCTACCCAGAAGGACTACCGTTGGGGTCTCATGGGGAAGGGGCCCTTGTGCAGAAGCATCCAGCCCACCCAGAATTCCTGATAGCAGGCCCCACGGACTATTCTGCATGGGCGATTGGTGTCTCTCCTACTAGGTGGGGAAGATATAGAAGACAAAGGGACAGTCAAGTCTATCTCTGTGTCCATAGCTTGCAGCACAAGGCCCCACCCTGAGGATGTGCTCAGCATATGCTGGTTGGCTGACCAGGACATGGCATGCCCCTCCATCCTGCTACGTCTTTGAGAGAAGATCTATATCACAAGAGACTACCTCACAAGGAGGCATGAGAAAACTTAGTTCCCTAAACCCTGGCCAGTGTTACACGTTACATGTAACATCGACTAGAAGGCTGTCATTTTCTGATCATATTGTCCTTCCACACTCCCAGGTTTGCAGACAGACCAAAGACCAGCCACTGGGGTAGAACCCATGATCACATGCACACATAGACAAACAAGCGTGACTCCACAGGCAGACAGGGCACACCCCCACACAATAGCATGCTTGAATGGCAAGTGTGGACCTCAAAACTCCCCATCCTGCACCTGCATGCCCAGGCAGATATTCCCAGGCCCAGGCAGCCTGGGTTTGAACACCAATTTTCCCACCTAGTAACACCAGATCTCATTGTTACTCATCTGTAATTTAAAGATAATAATATCTATCACGCAGGGTCACTGTGAAGATTAAATGATAAAATGTATGTAAAGTGCTTAGCTAGATCCTAGCAAATTATAAGGGTTCAGTAAATAATAGAGATGACAATGACAATGACGACGGTGATGATAGTGGTGCTGGTGATGTTGAAGATGGTGGTAATGTCACTTCCTCTGGGCTCAGGGGTGCTCACTAAAAGAATGAATCGATGATGAGCTTCAAAGATGCTTGGGATGGGATGCAGGGACATAGAGTACAGACGGGGAAGGTGACCCAGGCCACTTGACACTTTTATAGCTGCTTTTGAACTGCCTGAGATCCAGGCTTCAAAGGCATTGCTTTGGCGTCACATGTTTGTGTTTTTGTCTTTCTCGGTTTCATTTCAAGGTTGCCCATTCCGGGGTGGCCGAATGAAGTCACACACACTCTCCTTCCTATTCTTCTCCTCCCCCTCCTCCTCCCTCTCCTGCTCTTCTCCAGATTGTCATTAGTGTTTCTAACTCTGAGGTTCTCTGACTATGAAGGAACCTCAAAAGTCATATTGAATACAGAAATGCCCTCCATACCATCCATGCCAGTTGGCTGTCAAGTTTCCTGCTTGCTCACCCCTAGTAACAGGAAGCTCACCACCTCTCTTGGCAGGCTATCTGTTTTTAGGCAGGTCTATTGCCCAAAATAATGAAGCCTGCCTCCCTGTGCTGCACTGTCACCACCATCCTCTTAAAACTACCTTTGTTCAGAGGTCTGTCTTCTGTTCCCTGGGATTGCCCTACAGGGAAGGGATAGAGGTACCTAAAAAAGTTAGGGCAGGGAAACGAGCACTAGCCCGGGAGTCAGGAGATGAAGTTTGCATCTAACCCATTCCTTGTCATTGAGCAAGTCACTCCCTTTCTCCCAGCCTCAGTTTCCCCATCTGTAAAAGAAGGAGTTTGAACACCCCTCCCCCTCCACAAAAAACAATCTCACAGGGCCCTTTCAGTTTAACAAACACCTATTTGTCCAAGTCTTCCTTTCTTCAGCTTAATCTTGCCCCCCTTGTTCTTCGAACACTCCACGCTATTCTCTGTCCCCTCACACATCCTGGTTCAACACCGTCATTGTTTTGCGAGGGGATGTTTGGCGGCCCAGCATACAGTTGATAGAACAGTGTGTCTTAAACAGTCGGCAGCTTTATCCCATTAAGTGTGTACAGCAGCCCTGAGATCTAAGTCTCACTTTATAGGCAAGGAAACTGAGGTTCCGAGAGGAACAGTAGCTTGCTCGGGGTCTCACTGCAAGTGAATAGTGGGACCAGAATTGGAACCACAGCCAGCTTGGATCAGGAGCTTATAGCCACATCCTCGGAGCTAGGATTGCGGGAGCCAGAGGCATCGCAGCAAAGCCACCCACCCCGGAGTGTCTACTCTGACCGCAGCATCCTGCCCCCTCGCCCCGCGGCCCCCGCAGCCTCCGCTGTCTGGCTCTGGCAGTCTCTCTGCTCCTCTCCACAGGGAGAACAACTTCATCAAGGACTTCCCCCAGCTGGCCGACGGGCTGTTGGTGATCCCGCTGCCGGTGGAGGAGCAGTGCCGGGGGGTCCTCTCCGAGCCCCTCCCGGACCTCCAGTTGCTCACGGGTAAGACCCACGTGCTGGAACCCTCCGCAGGCTCCCTGACCGCACACACCTGGTCTGCAGGTGCACGCCGGCCCGCAGCAGATCCACGACGGGCCCGGCCGGGCCTCGCCGAGGTGCCTCTCTGAGAACAGGCGAGCTCCTTCTCCGTGAGGGTATAGCCTCCGTGTCTGAGTCTCAAAACATTTCTCACTCTCATTGACAGTTTTCTGATATTTTTTTCACTTTCAGTGTTTTGTGCTCTTGGTTCATTTTTAAGTCATTCTAAAGTAAAGTCAGTGGACACTCTAGCCAAGAGGCTCTCCTGCTTGAAAGCACTTGAGTCACACAGCTTGTTTTGGGTACGTGGGCCCTGAGCCTTTCATCGGGTGTGGATTCTTTTTCCTATTTTGTACATAAGGAATCTAGGCTCAGAGAGGTGAAGGGACCAGCCCGAGGCCACACAGCATATCTGCCAGGACTAGAACCTGGGTGCCATAGCAACAAGTCTTTTGCCCTTTTCATTTCACTCAGCTGCTCTTCCCACCCCCCCCCCCCCCCCCCCCCCCCCCCCCCCCCCCCCCCCCCCCCCCGCTGACCTCTGTCTCTCCCTATGGGGACATTGTCTTTTGCAGGCTGTCCTGAGACTCCATATTTTCTGTCCCACCCCAGGATGTCCTTCTGCTCCTCCTTTTCTTCTCCTAGTTCCTCTCCCATCCTTTTGTTGAGAAATGTCCTGAGATATAAGGGTCTTGACTCTGCTTTGCAACATAGGAGTTGTGTGTCTTATCCACGGGGATAAGAGAGAATGGTCACCCTGACGGTGGATGACCCAGCTCCCTCGCTGACTCGCCGAGAGGGCAGTGGTCCCCGGGGAAGACCTTGTAGTGTGACACACTTAGGTTTAAATGCCACCGTCCCCATCACTTGCGAGCTCTGGGAGACCTCAGGCAAGTCATCTAACCGTCACGAGCCTTTCCCATAAAATGGCATAGACCAGGGGTCCTCAAACCTTTTAAACAGGGGGCCAGTTCACTGTCCCTCAGACCGTTGGAGGGCCGTTGGAGAGCATGGCACATTCCATACATGCGCACCGTGGGCCTGGGACCAGTCGGCTGCTAAGCAGGACAGGCAGCGGCAGCAAAAACACCCGGCGGGCCGGATCAATGTCCTCGGTGGGCCATAGTTTGAGGATGCCTGGCGTAGACACAGGAGAGAACCCACACGTGTTGGGGGCGCCCTGAAGGCCAAGCGCTTCTTATGCATTAACCCATGTGACCCTGCACGGGCATTATTGTCCCCCTGTAAGCTGGTCAGAAGGCCAGGCACTCCTCCCAGGCCATGTGGCCAGTCCACAGTCACATCCGGATGAAGCCCGGTCTGTCTGGACCCCAAAGCTGATGCTGCATGGATGTAAAAAGCACCTTGTAAAATGAGTCCACAAACTTCTATATCTTCCTTAATATTTTTCATAAGATCATGGGATTTCAGAGCTGACATGCGTCATAACGGCATCTAGTCCAATCCGCCTTCCTGATGAGGAATCAGGTCTACAATATCTGTCCCAAGTGATTATGCTTCTTTGGATGCCCCCAGTGATGGGGAGTTCACTACATTCCCATGGTCCATGGGAGGAGGGGTGTGTGGTGCTATAATGGAAAGGTCCCTGAAATCTGTCACTGATCAGTGTATGTCCTTGGGCGGTTTCCCTCTCTGAGCCTCAGTTTCTCCTTCTAAAGTACACAATATAACAAATATCTTTTTCAAAATGCTAGGGAGAAATAGCAATCATGTATATAAAATGCTTGGTATACTATGGGTCTCCATTAGTGATACAAACTGTTGTGATCATTTGTTTTGACTCAGGAATCTTCGAAGTTTTCCCCTAAGAAAGAAACTGCTACATTGCAAGTATTTTTCTTTAATTTAATCACCCAGAATAATTCTTCCCCCATCCCAGAGCTTCATGCCATCTAATTCCCAGCTGGGGATCTGAGCTAGAGCAGGAGTCAGGGACAGAGGAACCCAGGAATGGATTTAGGATCAGGATTAGAGTGAGAGAGTGAGTCAGTTAATAGGTATTTACTGAGCGACTACTGTGTGTTGGGCTCTGTTCTAGGCTCCGCAGGAGAAGTGGGAATAATACAGACCATGGCCTCAGCCTCAAGAAGCTGACATTCCACTGGAGAGGCCTATATTCTAGGCTTGAATCCAGGAAAGAGCAAGGATGGAGGAAGTGGGGGAAGAAGAGATGGCCATTTATGGGGTAGCCCAGGGATGGGGTGAGCAGCAGAGAAGATGGTTTTATAAATTACTTGATAATCAGAAATATTTTTTTTCCCTTTTGGACATCATGTCCCTAAGTGAAAGAGCTGTCTCGACAGCCTGCATCAAAATCTTCTGCCCCCCCTTGTTGGAGACGGGCCTTGGTTGCGAACAGCCCCACCAAGCTGCTTTGCACAGGGAGGAGCAGTAATCGGAGGGGCAGAGGCTGCCCAGCTCCATGTCTGGGTGTCCTTGTGCAGGTTGTTTTTTAATTTTTTTTTTTTGCCTTCAGTCAGAAACACAGCCCTGTCCTTCCTCCTTCCACCTGCTCCCCTTTTCTCCCCAGCCTCTGCAAAGGAAGTTCAGGAGAAGCAGAGCAGATAAACAGAGAGGACATATTTATAACAAAACAACCTTGCTCCAGTGGACATATCTTTGGGGATCGTGAATATTTTACTTTAAAATGAAAGTCTCTAAAAAAAAATTGTATTATTCCTGAAAAGGCTAAAGAGGAAAAAAAAAAAAAAGTTGACAGTAATGGACAACTTTAATACTGCAGTAATGTCCAGGAAGAAATCATTTGTTCCAATGAGATTCTCATTTTAATCTTGGTATCAAATATCTCTATAAGTGCCTACTCACCAGGGGACAAGAGAAAAGGATAGAAAATGTGCCTGCATTTGCAGAGGCACAAGAAAGCATGGCTATATAACAACAGTAATAATAACTGCTGATGGGACTAGCATTTCTTTTTTATGTATTTTTTTCCTTGATTATAGAGAAGACAGTTGGAAAAGCTTAGGGTAGAAAATTTAGAAAATGGAAGTGAATATAAATCAGAAAACAAGGATTTTTCATACACACATCACCCAAAGTTAATCCCTTGCTAATGTTTTATTTGTGTTTTTCCTTAGTTTATTTTTTGTTTATACGTATGTTTCCAGAAATGGATTCTACAAAACGTGAGCTCTGGTGGACCCTGTGTGCAAAAGGGGTTCTATAATCAAAGAAGTTTGCACACTACCTTCATGGAATTTTAAAATGCATATCAGTCTATTCAAGGTGCTGAGAAATTATACAGTTTAACTTTCTTTAGCCTGTATTTACATGATGCTTATGAATATCCATGTTTCCATGTTAAGCAATAGTCTATACATGGGTCTGGAAACAAAGGGGCAGATAATTGGGCTGTTAGATTTTGCAGGAGGTCTCTGCTGGAACTGCTCAATTTGGCTAGGGTAATGAGAGAGCAGCTATAGATAGTACGTAACAAATGCCTAGTAGTTTGCTGACCCTTGGCCAACATGTTCTGCATTTCTGGTTTACGAAAGGGCTTCCACTTCTGTTACCTGATTGGAGTCTCACAATATGCCTGTGAAATGAGTTCATCAGAGATAGTTGCAGTGTCAGATGGGGAAACAAAGGCACTGAGATGTCTAGTGCCCAGTGGCAAGTTGCCAAGGGGGTGAGGTGGGACGTCAATCTGACCTGTGGTCACTCTTGCTTGTAGGTAAAGGAGCCTTGCAAGCTGCTGAGCAGAGAAAAAAATCAGGGGTAGGGCTGAGATCAGAGGCCAGGAAAGAGGGCTGGAGGTGGGGTTTAGATAGAATCGTCAACCCCAATGAAAGCCTGCACTTCGAAGAGGTGGCCATTACCCGGAGCCGAGAACTGCAGGGTGGGTATTGTGGTGTGAAGCGTCTACGTTCTGGGCTTATGTGACCATCTTATTTCCTCTCCCAGGAGACATCAGGTACGACGAGGCCATGGGCTACCCCATGGTGCAGCAGTGGCGGGTCCGGAGCAACCTCTACCGGGTGAAGCTCAGCACCATCACGCTCTCAGCAGGTGAGGCCCACTGCCCGGCAGCCAAGGGACTTGGAGTGATTCAGCACACGTCCCCAAGGACCTCGGGTGTGCGAGGGCCTGTGTCGGCACTGGGGATGCTGAGGAAATGAGGCTGCGCCCCTCCCTGCCACCTGCCACCGCAGAGCTCCCAGGGAGGGTGGCCGGACAAGCTGACAGACGGCAGGGTGAACACAGTCGTGGGGTAGCCGCGGCACAGAAGAGGGAGCTGTCCATCCTGGGGGAGTCCAAGAGGCTTCCTGGAGAGAGGGATATCTGAGCAGCGTGTGGATAGATGAGTAGGAGGAGAGTGGGGATAAATAACAGTCAAAGTCACGTTTATGTTCTTGAAGTATCTCAGTTTTGTGAATTGTGAATTCTTCTCAGGCACCAATTCCTCTGTGCTCTCCTAGCTAATTCCTTTTTCTGCCTATCTCCTATACAACAATAATAAATAACCCCCTCCCCATTCTCATACATGCGTCACCCACACTTTACCCACATGAACCCTAAGCTCCAGCGGATGGGGACAATTTGTAGTGCTCACAAAGGGACATGTTCTTTCATGCCTCTGTGACTTTGCACATGCTGTTCCCTCTGCCTGGATCTCTTTGCCTTGGGAATATATACTGTTCTATCTACGATGCCTCCCCTGTCTCCATTCCCCTCAAAATAACCCCAAAGAATTCCCCGTGCTTGAATAGCTATATCAAAGCACTAAGTGCTTCATTCATATCTGAATCTTGTCTGTCTCCCATGCTGACCTGAGGACTGTGGTCTTATTTATTCAGTATACTCAGAAACTAACAGATAATCAACACGTTGTTGGTGCTTATGTATGATGGAGGAATTAAAAAAATACATAAAGAAACTCTTAAAAAAAAAAAAAAAAGAAAAGAAAAGAAATGAATGAATGAACCTGGGAAGATGAGACCTGTCATTTTCTACGCTGGCTCTTACTCATAATGCTGTCACTGGTTTATTGTCTGAGTGTCCCCTAATTATCTGTGAGTTCTTTTCCTTTTCAATATCACTTTGCTCATCAGCAAAATGGAGCTCTTTTAGCCTGGGAATTGGAGGACTTCACCCTCTGGGAAGTACAAATAGTAATTATTGCTGACATCTGCCAAATGCTTTAGAATGTTTCATTTCTTATAACTTGGAACAGTCCTATGAGGAAGGCATTATTTATCACACTTTTCTCCAGATAAGGAAACTGAAAGTCAGAGAGGTTAAGGAACTTGCCCAAGGTCACACAGCTAGTAAGTGGCAGGGCAGGGAGCAGAGCAGGGATTTGATTGCAGTTTTGTCTGCCTGCATAAGAGCCACAGGGTATCTCCATGGTATTGTTGTTTGTTACTTAACAGAAACCATCTCATTACTGACACAGCTGTATTAATTACCCAGCTGCACGAGTTAACAGGTTGATGGAAAGGGGTTGTTCTAATCAAACACGCATTCTCTGAGCCCCTATTTCTGTCCCCCCAACACACGCATGCTATGCTTGTAAGACTGTGATGTTCCTATTAGAACTACAGAGGTGTATCTGCTTTAATTAATCAATAACGACGCTCCTGGAAACCCCTTTATAAATCAAATGTTGGCAAATTGGAGCTCGTTTTTAATGCTGGAGAGGAGCTTGCTCTTTTACATTTTACTTTGATGTGGCACGAAGTCGGTTGTTCTTGCAGTCATCGTGGTTGATGTGTTTGTGGTGTCCTGGGAGCTGTGCCGCGTACCTGGCTGGGTGGAGGTGAGGCAGATTCAGAGGCAAATAAGATAAAGCTTCTGACTCCAAGGTGGTGTGTGTTGAAGGTGCAGAGAGTGGGTCCTGCTGGCCACACGGTGTGAAAGGCATCTTGGAGGAGCGGTGACTTCCAGGGGCCTGGAGGCATGGGTGTGACTTAGCACCAAATGAGGCCATACCAGGTGGACATGGATGTGTGTGCATGTCGGGATTAGCAAGGATGTAAGGGAAGAAGGGATGATGGAAATGCCAGGTCACATTCAGGATGAATAAGGAAACGGACTTGGCTAGAGCTCAAGCCTGGTCTTGGCTTGACCTTGGAGTCATGGATGCCCAGACAAGGCCACTGGTCAGGACCTTGCTACCTATCCTTGCTACCTATCCATTAGCAAGGAGGAGCTCAGGAAGGTCTCAGCACCCCTGGAAGAACAGCTGTTCATGTGCCTATTTGAGGACGGAGAGGGGAGAGACAACTGTTACTGGGTGCTGTGCAGGCCAGCACTGGGTACTGAGGACTTAGCACAAGACCAGGGGAAATAGAGCAGCCGGAAGGCTCCGTGGCAAGCTAGGGAGACAGAACACACCACTGTTCCAAGGCAGCAACAGCAGAGATCAAAAGGGAAGCAATGCTACAGGAAATGAAACCGGGAATCAGATCTGTGGGCACAGAATATATGCTGAGCCTGGGTGAATGCAGCCCCAGGAATCCAGCTGTGGATAGTTGGAGCCCTGGTTTATTTACTGCAGTAGAAAGTGCATGCACTAGGGAGTGAAGACCAAAGTGGGTTTGAATCCAGCTCCTCTAGCTGGAGGGCCAAAGCAGGTCACTCACAGTCTCCCTGCTCTGACTTGCTCATTACACAGCGGGAGTCGTTGTGGTCAAGGTCATACTGCTGAGGCTGGGGTTAAGTTGGAGAAAGAGGGGGAAACATCTAGCAGCTTCCCCAGTGCATAGCGATTGGGCAGTCAGTAGACATCAGTTTTGACTTTCTGATGGTGACTCTCAAGTCCCCACGGTCTAGGTCGCTGAGTTTAGGCCTCCGTCTCCTATAGATTCCCTCTTGGTCGTGGCGCCTTGTGTGACTGCCAGAGAGACAGGGAGCGTTCTTTGCTGCGTGAGTGATGGGATGGTGTGCATGTCAGAACTAGTGCAGCCACCAGGCTGCCACCGCGGTGAAGGGGAAGGTGCCAGGCTGGAAAGAGCCCCCTGCCCCTGTCAATGTGCTGCCACCGCCGCTCGGGTCTGACCACCTCCACGTGTCACCCCTCCTGTCCAGGCTTCACCAACGTCCTCAAGATCCTGACCAAGGAGAGCAGTCGGGAGGAGCTGCTGTCCTTCATCCAGCACTACGGCTCCCACTACATCGCGGAGGCCCTCTACGGCTCTGAGCTCACCTGCATCATCCACTTCCCCAGCAAAAAGGTGCAGCAGCAGCTGTGGCTCCAGTATCAGAAAGGTAAGCCCGGAGTGCCTGCTGGAGGCGGTGGCCAGGCAGGGTGTAGCGGGAAGGCGGCTGGGGAGACAGAGGAGCTGCCTTGGGTCTCCGGCTCTGCCACATGTAAGCTGTGTGGCCCTAGGCAGGTGCCTGCCTCGCTCTGGGCTCCGGTTTTACCGTGGGCAGAGTGAGGGACCATATGATGATCTCTAGAGATTCTTTCAGCTCAGACATTTCCCGAGGCCCCACGTTAGTGTCCCGGACTGCAGAACTCTTGCCTTCTCACGGTGGCTTTGTTTCCCGCATCCTCTCCTCGAAACAACTGCCGAGGAGGGGGCCGGTGAGTGGTGTCTCCTGACACCTTCTTTTCTCCACGCTTCTTGGGAGAAACTAAGAACTCCTGCTCCTCTGGATAAAAGGAAATCACCTTATGTCCAAGGGGACAGTCTCTAGTCTGTCCAGTGGAAAGAGGCTTTTATCCTCAGGAAGGGTCACCAGACATTTCTTCCCTCTCATTCTCAGCTATTATCAAAATTGAAATTCCCCAGCCCAGAATCAAGAGACCAGTCTCTGCCACCCAAGCACCTTGGGGAGGTCATTTTCTTCCTACCTCAGTCTTCCCTTCCTGTGAAATGGGGACCAAATGGACAGGTATTCTTGTCTGCTTCCCGCAATGAAAGGAAGTGGTTTATATAATAGTGTTTTGAGAAAGTTGGAGATACTGCACAAGTGCATATGTGTATTTTAATAGGTCAGTGTACTCATACTCCCATGTCGCATATGAGAAAATGAGTCTCAGACGTGCCAAGTCAAGTATTCATAGACACACAGCTAATAAGTAGCAGGGCCGGGAGTGGAACCCAAGGCTCCAACTGCAGGATTGGAACCATGGCTGCCAAAGCCCACACTCTTTCCTTCTTTTAACTACACTGAAGTGCTCATTGTTGTAATTAATACTACTATTATTAACTAATTGTAAAAGAAAGACTCTCTGTTGATGGAAAGGGTGAGGAGCAATGTTAAAAACTTGCTTGCATCTTCTTCGTATGGCTGAACTGCCCCGTCTCCAAGAACGAAATCAATCATAATTTATAAAACCTCAGAATGTGGGAGCCAGAAGGGATCTTAAGGATCTCATTGAGCTTTGCAGTTGGGCAAACTAGGGCTAGGAGTGGGGAAGAAAGCTTGCACACAGCTCCCCTTGGAAGAGCTGAGGCCACTCTGGGGTGTTCCGCGCCCCCATCCTGTTCTTCTCATGTGGCCGCACATTCCTAACTAGATGGGGTCCTGGTCCACATGGCTTTGCCGTCTCCAGAACCCTCCCCTTCTGTCCCTGGGGGCTTTGCATCCCCAGTCTTGCTCTCTCCCCTTCCTGTTTCCTGTGTGCAACTGTGTGGGGCGCGAGGAGGTTTATGGGCACAAGGGATATAATTGAGTTGTCTGGGAATAGCTCCATTTTATGGCTGTGACAATGACAGTCTTTAAGGAAGTGCATTAAATCAATAGAAGTCTCATTGTGCTACCTTATAAATAATGTGACACATCATTAAACAGGGCAATAAGCTTCAGGACTTTGAAGTAATACAATTAGGTTATGTTTATAAAAACCTTTGCTCACTGTGGCCACTGAACTAATTTGCTTCATGCCACATTTGGGGCCCGGGACACCACTCTGTTGCTATATCCCACCCATCTCCATCCTTGGCTGCCTTTGGGCCTTGGACTTGACTTTCTCATTGTAGAAGATTCTATCCCTTGTATGGTAAATGCATGGAATCTGTTACAATGAAGATGGGGGTGGGGGAGGGCGCTGAAAGAATGCCGAAACAGCAGCCAGGGGACCCCCCGCCCCCTTCAAGACCTGGCTTTGCCTCAAACTTGTCGGGTGAACATGGTGCTTTCCGCTCTGGGCTTCTAGTTTGCAAAGGCACTTTTCTTCCTTCCGTCCTCCATACTTGCTCCCAAGAAGAGCACAGGGGGTATATCCCAGCCCACCCAACCGTGCTGTGTACGTTTCTCCCTCTCTGTCTCCACCTACTGCGACCACCTAGATAGCAGATCAGACACTCGGGTTTTATTTTGTAAGTGTGGGAGTGATGCTAGGGAGTGGGGAGATGAGAACCTGGGATTGGCCTCTGCAGAGCTGAAGAAACCCCTGGGACTCAGAGTTAGCTGGCGTCCTTTCTCTCCCCACCATGAGTTATGTGCCACTGACATCTTCTAAACACTGGGAACCAGGCCAAGAGGAATCCGGGCTTGGAGGCTGAGAACTCTGGGGACAGAGCTTGAGAAGAGAGGAGAGAAAGTGTAGTGCTCAAGTGGGAGAGATGGGATTTCACGTCCTGACTCCTCTTTCCACGCACCTGCCAGGTGGCCTCGGGGAAAGTGACTTCCAGGTGTCGGTTTCCTTGTGTGTTAAATGAGAGATAGTAATTCCCTCGCATGGCTTTCGGGAGAATAGAATGATAATTCAGGTAAAATGCCTGACACGATAGGTACGTAAAAAAAAAACTGTAGCTTGAAATAAAACAAAAATCGTGGGCATCAGCTGAGGATTCTAGTCCTGGCCCCATCCCTTGCTAATGTGTGACCTAGACCCTCATTTCTCCCCGTGAACTATATATGTCACTAGAAGAGGATGATTCTTAAAAATTTCCTTTCAACTCAGAGAGGGGTGTGTGGAGGGGTTCTGGGATTCTTTAAAAATCTATGAAATCTTAGAAATCTAAATTTCAGACAGTGGTTTCACCTTGTCTAGAAGGGTCAAGCATGGTAGAGTAGATTGGGGAAAATAGACCCAATAGGGCATGGATGACAACCATGAACATCTGGCCAGCCATCTACAATTTGCAGATGGCCTTCCTTTAATGCTCTTATCTGCCCTACAAAGCACAGAAGGCAAGGGAACCCCCTCCTCCCTTTGCAGAAGGGAAACCCAAAGCTTAGAGAAGCCAAGGGGCACAGTTCATCAGTGAGGGGGATGGTGTTTGAAACCCTACCTGAGCCCAGGACTTCCTTCCCCCTAGTTTTGGTGTCACCAGACACCAGACACAAATGTCCCAGCCTTTCCAGGTTTGGTAACGATGGGACCTTGCTATTATGATGTGCGGAAGCCACTGGGAATCACAGGGAAGCCGAGGAAGATGGGATGAATGTGCCTGATTAAAATGTTTCCCATGAGAGGTTTGTTTTACTCTCATTCCCCTGAGTGCTTCTAAGTGTGCATGTCACAGGGGGAAAAAAAAAAGAGTCACATTTATCATTCATTAATTCTTTATTTTACCAAACATTTCCCAAGTGCTTCTTCTCTGCCCACCTTGTACAAGAGACAATTGCTATGTTCCTACATTGTTCATTTCCAGCCGGCCTTAGTCTCCCAACATTTCATCATTTTTGTTATAGACTTAAAAAAAGAAAATAAAAAACTCCATTGGTAGACAGCTGAGAAGCGGGAGGGGGCTGGCACAAGGCAAGACACCCAGTCACTTTCATGTTATGGCCTGTAGCTTTCATGCCCCAATTCTGATCAGCTGGGGAGTGGCTTGTCTAGACCACTGCACTGGGGTCATTGAGACCATTGGGGAAGAGAGCTATGATCAGCTACCAATGCCCGTTCTAGATACAGAAATGAGGTGGGGTGGTCCAGATCCTGTGTTTTTTTCTTTCCTGTAATAGGGCAAAAATAAAAGCTAGAATAGCAGACCTAGCTTTTGGTGTTGATTCCAGAGGGGGCACCAGGCATCCCAAGAACCACTAGCAAGATCCAGGCAGGGAGGAGATGGAGTTTTCTATCACCAGGTGGAGATTTTTGGCTTTCACCAGTCTGTAGGGCACTAGAGTACTGAACAGGTCAATAAGGTAGAGCCTCGTCGAATCCAGGAAGTGCTGGGCCTTAGGAGGCAACTAGAGTAACCAAAGTCATTCCTGGAAGCCCCAAGTCCCAGGCATGATTACAATGGCAGCTGCTCAGCCTGTCGGGTTCCTTTAACCATCACCTCTGCTCTCATGCCGTTTCACAGGCACCGTGTGAAGTCCTGAGCCTCTTGCCTTAGTATGATACTTGCACAACATGTCACTGTGCTCTTGCCACTCTTACATTTTGAAAAGCTACCTTTTCCCCACTGGGGCTCCATTTCAGCCTTTGACTTGATATCCACACACTCTCCCTAGCTATGACCTTGATACGTGAGTCTTAAATCATGATTGGAGCTCTCTGTATAAAGTCACCCTTCCTTTGGCTACCTTGGATAAAGACTTCTACATTTGGAGATAAAGCACAGGTTTTGCAGTCAGATAGACCCCAGTCCAAATCCGAGCTCTACCTCTTACCAGCTGTGTGATCTTGAGCAAATTGATTCACTCTTCTGCGATCAATTTCCCCATTGCAAAATGCAAGGTCACTGTACAGATTGAATAAGAAAATAGATCGAAGGGATGGCCCCATCTAGCAATTAGGTGAATTGGGCACCTGATTATTATCTTGATCCAGCCATTCCCTCCACACATGGCTGCCACACCCACTCAGGTCACCGTGTTCCCAAGCGTGTATGTGCATGTGCACACACATGCAGGCACAAGTGTGTTTGAGCAGGGGGCATATAGCTGCTAATTTGCTCCCATCCCTTGTCATTTGGCCCAGGACCAAGGACAGGGGTAGACTGGCCTGGGTTGGGGAGGGCCTCATCAAGTTTAGCTCCAGGCTTGGAGCCAGTGAGAGGAGGAGCTGCAAAGCTAGATGTGGAGGTTTCAAAAGGGGTCTGTCTGTGAGTTGTGTCATCCTCTGTCATTCACCATTTAGGGAGGATAGTGACGGATGCAGAAATTACCAGTCTAATAGGTTTCCTGAATTTTCATTTACCTTCTTTTTCATAGAGAAAGTGATTATGGAAGGTGAAGGGTGTGTGTATATGAAGGAATTGTTCATTTTACGTGTGTGTGTGTGTGTGAGAGAGAGAGAGAGAGAGAGAGACAGATAGACAGACAGACAGACTGAGGAAGGGAGGGAGGTAGACGGAAAAACA